AAATAAGCCCCCCTATAAACTCCCCTTTTCAAGAGAAGAAAGTTAATAAGCGCCCCCCCACCCCTCTCGAATAGTGAAATACTGGAGAGCTGTGTAGTCCATGATGGAATCATCTCCAATAAGGCTAATGTTTTGCTCTACTTTGGAATGGCGCCATACTGACTAGGATCAAGTACACTTAGCCCAGCTGGTTTCACGTACTGGGAGATGATGAAGTCCTCAGCAACCGTGGAGGTACATTGTGTGAGTGATATCCGTCTGATATCTTTTTTAAGTTCCTTGCTAGGTTTCATTTCAGGAAGGGGCAACACATCAGCCAGTTTCCAAGTGCTTGGCTAATGCTGCTCCTTAAACAAGGCATTTGGGATTGTAGTTACTGGGTTGGCAAGGAAATCTGAATAGTCTTTCAGTATCCAGTTCGGAATTCCATCTGGCCCACTAGCTTTCACTGGGTTAAGGTGGGAGAGTTTCTTATAATAAAATAATGTCTTGTTCTGAAATTAGAAGGAACTCAGGGGCATGATCATCCACAAGCTTTGTCAATGGCATTAAGAAGCCAATACTCTTCTAAGTGCTCCAAAAGAGAGCTGTTAATCACATCAGCTATTTTCTGTGTAGATACATTCTTAAGTTCATCAACATGCATTTGGGCAAGCAGGTGACTAGAACAGGATGATTTTGCTCCACTGATCCATAGCACCTTCTTCCACCACGATCTAGGGTCAATCTCTCTTAGCTCTTCTACTTTGGACCCGTAAAAATTGGCTTTGCAGTGTTTGCTCTTATGGTTGATGTCAACAGGCTGTATGGCATAGAAATTTAACATGAACTTTCTAAACTACAAACATGCTTTCATGTGAAGAATAATGAAAATACCACATGCATTCATTTGGATCATAGTAAATTAAATTTTCTTAGTTACTGAAGATTACTTTCTGTCCATTAGACAAGAGGATCTCTGAAATCTACCTTTGTGATGACTCCCTCCCTACCAACCTTAAATTCAAGTCTTTGAAGAGCAAAAGCCACATCATAGGCATCTTTTTCAGGATAAGCAAGTCCTTGCAACATTTGACATTCATAATTTTGATTTCCAATGACCAAAGCAACCTTGTCTGAGACCACTGCAGAAACAAAAACCACACAAATATACATTGACTATGAAGAAAAATTTCAAAACGTCACTGTTATTTGATATTGGTAAACCATCTTTCTTTCCTAACTTATGGCTTAATAATATTTGTCTGCGGTAATACTTATGCTACAACTCTAAGCCCTGTTGTAGTTTTACAGAAAAAGGCAGTGCAAATAATTACATATTTTAATCGAGATGCTCATTCTAGCCCACTGTTTTCACAGCTAGGTTTAATTAAGCTCATGGATCTTGTGACTATTAATACTGCCCTTTTTATGTTTCAATTCCATCACAATTTACTGCCTAAGGCTTTTGACAACTTCCTTTCACTTATATATCGTCTAAGCATGGGTATAGTAAAACTGTTAGGACTACATTCACCGGACGATCAAACTCAACCTTCTTATGGGTATAGTGCTAGGCTGTCATCAAAGTCAACTTATTATATCGATCAGGTCAGCACTAATTACAGTAAATTTAATATACACAGCATGCATATAGCAACTTGGAGATTAGGATGGCTGGCTCCTCTGGTCACCTTCCATAAATCTTTAGCTTTAAAATGATTATCTTGGTATTTTATCTATTTCGTCATCATGCCTGACCACAGGTAAGACTTCATTGAATATGGAGCATATCTTATGCACACTGTCTAACTGTTATTTGCAACTTTGGATTCACTTACCTGGCCGTGGTGGGCTTGGAGGAAGCCTTGATGGGTTGGGAGGAATAAAATTGTGCCGCCTGTAAACAGGTGGCAATTCCACATTTACGTCACCATAATGAGATCCTAGGGACAAAGATATAATGAAATAATAAGTTAAACAAGTTATGCACAAAAAAACATTAGTACAGGTGATAAGTAACTTATTACTGAATATTCCAAAAAAGAGATAAGCAAAAATGTTCATTCCAAAGCTGTGATTTTGATACCTGGTGGGCTTTGTGGGATAGTATTGGGCGGCCGCTGCATAGTCAGTAGCTCACTGTAACTCGCTTCACCTTGAGATGAGCCTGTGAAATTAAATTTACAGTTTCACAGACCAAAATTAATAACGTCACCAATTTTCTAAGGACTATAATCTTAATGAACTCATTCTAGCCCACTGTTTTCACAGCTAGGTTTAATCAAGCTCATGGATCTTGTGATTATTCATACTGCCCTTTTCTATTTTTTATTTCCATCACAATCTACTACCTAAGGCTTTTGACAACTTCTTTTCACTTACATCTGTTTGGAATAATCTGGATGAAAATTTAAAAAGCAGTTCCCTGAATCTATTCAAGCAAATGATGAAAACAGATATTTTAATTATCAACTTACTGTGGATGCTGGACAGTATCGAATAACTTACCCTTATTAATGTAAACTTTATGATTCTCTGGTACCATTTTTTGTTTTTGTTTGTTTGCTTTTTCCTTTTAAGTTGTTCTATTTTATCTTAATTAAATTAATTAATTAAAATTTATTTTTTATCACTTTTTTCTCTCCTAAATTTATGACATTTTTCCTCTATCTTTTGTGTGTTGCAACCCTATAAAATGTAATTTAATTGTTGTAACTACTCAGGTCGTTTAGTTCTTCTTTGCTCTTCTGAGTGGTTTTTTTGCCTGATCTATTTTAATTTATGCTGTTCTTGTCAATGTTTTAAGTTGGCAAAATAACGTGGTTGGTTGGTTGTTGTTGTTGTTGTTGTCATGTTTAATTATTGAAAACACGCAAACATCATGCAACCTGTAAACATGACTTTTAATTTCTTGTCTCCCTTGCATTCCATTCATTCTTAGTTGAAGCCCAAATGAAAGCTAGCAGCTTGGAGATTAGGATGGCAGGCTCCTCTGGTCACCTTCCATAAATCTTTAGCTTTAAAATGTTTATCTTTGGTATTTTATCTGTTTTGGTCATCATGCCTGACCACAGGTAAGACTTCATTGAATATGGAGCATATCTCAGTTGCACACTGTCTAACTGTTATTTGCAACTTTGGATTCACTTACCAGGCCGTGGTGGGCTTGGAGGAAGCTGTGATGGGCTGGGAGGAATAAAATTGTGCCGCCTGTAAACAGGTGGCAATTCCACATTTACGTCACCATAATGAGATCCTAGGGACAAAGATATAATGAAATAATAAGTTAAACAAGTTATGCACAAAAAAACATCAGTACAGGTGATAAGTAACTAATTATTACTGAATATTCCAAAAGAGAGAAGCAAAAACGTTCATTCCAAAGCTGTGATTTTGATACCTGGTGGGCTTTGTGGGATAGTATTGGGCGGCCGCTGCATAGTCTGTAGCTCACTGTAACTCGCTTCACCTTGAGATGAGCCTGTGAAATTAAATTTTACAGTTGCACAGACCAAATAAAGTCAACAATTTTCTAAGGACTATAATCTTAATGACCATTGTTTTTCCTTTGCTTTTAAGTTCTTGTAAGGAACCACTCAGTCAACACTTGATCATACATAGTACATTTGCATGACCACGAATTAATTTTGAATGTTATGATTAATAAATTAGAAACTGTTAATATTAATTTAGCTGAAATGTATGTGGGTAATTACACACCATTAGCTTTCAGCTTAAGGCTTTTGTAAGTAACCACTAACAGGAAGTTTATCAGACGTTCCCGAGTCCTACAGCAGAGCCTATTGGGTAATTACACACCATTAGCTTTCAGCTTAAGGCTTTTGTAAGTAACCACTAACAGGAAGTTTATCAGACGTCCCCGAGTCCTACAGCAGAGCATATTTTTGTAAATGGATGCCACCACTATTATGGATTCCCAAGGTGGTTGCTTAAGAGACTATTGATGGTACTTGCCTTTAATCTTTGAAAAGATTGAGTCTTAATACTTTTAGTATTTATAATGATTCTCTGCACATATATTATTTAACTCTGGTTTAAATCTATCAAGAAGGCACCTTGAAAATGAGCCTCCGACTGACAGTTTTTTGTCTTTTTTAAATAAAGTTACTTGACTAATTTTGTCATGGCAACTTGAAAAAGGCCACAATTTGTTCTTCTAATGAATTATTGTCCCTACCATTTTGGAGAACAGTTGCTGGATGTCGAACTGCAAAAGAAAAAAAAAAATTACAAGAAAAACTTTCATGAAGTAATAATAAATTATTTGGCAAACCATTCCTCTAGTGTTAGCTGTCATTTTATTTCTCTGCATCTTTCCTATACTCCTCTCTTCCCTTTGAAATGACTCCTTCATATCCCTGGTACCTTACTCCATGGGCTCCTTTTTTCCCTTTCAATCTCCCTACGTGGTAACTAATCTGCAAAATTAAAATTAAAGTTCTACAAAAATACATTTCCGTGCAGCAGTCAATAACATTAATAGTACATACCTTGTGGTCTTGGCTCTGCTGCCAGTGGTGATCCCAAATCATAAAACATATTCTGCTGAGTATTGAATGTAACCTCTCGCCAATACCCTTAGCAAATAAAAGCAATGAGCCAAGGAGTTACGTATAACTACGTTACTACAATAACAATACTTTTACTCTTCGTTAATGGCAGCTTATGGCATTTCATGTCTACTACAAATACAGGGTGCAGGACAGCGCTTTTCTCATGCTCTGTAGTACATTTTTCAACATAAAGTGAAAACCTGCCTTACAGCCACCTTGGTAATAAGATCACCTTGTCATAATGGCCACTTTTGTTGACCCAGCAAAATGGCCATACATTTTCTAATAAAAAAACTGTACAACAGCCGCATTTTAAAATAATCATCTCAGTAGAATCTTTTATAATTTCATCCCATTAATATGGCCACTTGTCCAAAGTTTAGAAAATTAAATGCCGGTGACATGTCAATTTCATTGACGTATATGTAGTAAGCTGAGCCAGTCTTCTTGTATTGTTTTTAGACTACAGGACACTTAAAATGCATATTTTGGGTGGTTTAGTAGCCGATCTTATAATATAATATTTCTTAATAAATAGAACAGTTGTTCAAGAAGTGTGAATGTGATGTATGGTGTATCTGTCATTATGGCCCTCAAGTCATGAAATTTGACCTTGCCCCGGTAATACCGCCACCCAGTTAATATGGCCAAATTTTCTGACCCATTGGTGACTGTATTAATGAGGTTCCACATTGCATTTACAAACTTAAGTTACTGCACACTTACTTTCATCCCCTTCATAGTTATTGTACAGTCTACTCCCAGATAAGTTGTTACAGTGGAGATACTCATTTTCTTGAGGAGGACGCGTTTCTTTTAAATCTGATCAAATAAATACAAAAATCAGTTCACATTCAAGCAATACCATGGAGTGGTACAAAAAAACATTAACGATGGAATAACTGAAATCCTCTTCATTATTTTAGCTCAGTCAAAATGAGCTGGAGCTGGCAATGTAGCTGCTTCCAGTGGAATTTTTGCCACCTACTTACTACTTTAGGTTTGTAAATTGAGTAACAACCACAAACATTTAGACCTAAAAGCTGTCTGCTACTCTCAAGATATCCTTCTTACTATTGTAAACAGTTTGAGTGGTCTGTATTTTGAGGCATACTAAGTTTAGAAGGGGAGGATGGGTTATAAAGCACTGTAAGATGGACCAATTCTAAACCATAACAACAGCAATAGATTAGGCAATTAATACTTTCATAGATAAAGAATCAAAGCCAATGATTAACAGCAACTTACTGTATTACTTAAACATATGCTTTGTATTAGATGCAAATAAATTAATCTTAAGCAGGTCTGAGTCACAGGTAAATGAAGCTTAACCTGGTTGCAATACCACAAAAAGCCTAGGTGTATTCTAGTCAGTTACAAGGTGTTCATTGGGCATCGGAGATTGGAGAATTCTCTGTTTACTACGCAGATTTCTCCTGCTAACATTTGGTAGCCTATGACTTTTTTTATCCAGATGTGGAGAATCTTTCAGAATATTCTCCTTTTACATCACACTCTTCACCTGAGAACCCTGCAGTTATACTGTATAATATCAGATATAGAACCATTCTACTATATATCTCACTCAGAGGCCCAGATGGTGACAATAGGACAATAATATTATTATTGCACACATGTGATGATGACATTTTACTACAACTACCAGAATCCTTGGGTTTGTTGTTTTCTCGGGCAAATTAAGGCTATTGTTCTTTAATCCTCAGCGGGATTGACAGATTTAAAGAACAAAGCAAAACCGAAATGAATTCTGGTAGTTGTAGTCATCGTGCAATAAATTGTCCTACTGAAAATCATACTCAGGCTCATCCAGTAATATTGATAACTGACAGAAGGTGCCACTCTCCTAATTGGCAAGCACTCTGGTAGTCAGCTATGACAAATATTACACAAATGTCTTGTTTAAATGGAAACAAACCTCCTTTGGAATAGTCTCCAAATATATTTCTTTGTCCAGGTGGACCATAAAATGCAGTAGACAGGTCATAAGGCACATGTGGGTTGCTTAGGTTGTTCACAGGACGATTCTGAGGAATTTCTGTGATAGAAAACAAAATTTTAAGCAGTTGCATTGAAAAGAATTAAATTAAGATTGGGAACAATATTAAGTTAATTACTGGAACTTAAGGATCAATTAATTTCAGACCAACCAATAAGAACTCTGAATTGTCCAAAAAGATTCTTTGCTCAAAAAGGTAGTCTAAAGCAAAATATATCAAGTCCTAAGATTTCAAATTGCATGGAAAAGACATTTTTGGTTACATCCCTTCAGATCATCAAAGCCATCTGTAAAAATACACTCTTCATTTCGAGACAATGTTTATAACTACAAGAAAAAAAAAGTAAGAAGAGGTAAATTTTTCCGTATTTCTCATACTTGCACCTTTTATATACAGTTCATTTTATTAGCCTTAGTTTAAACTAAAATGGCGTTTAAGACAATTACTTTGTTTTAAACAAGCTTTAAAGAGGGGTATCTCTGAAAAGAAATTTAATTGTTGGCGAATTTCTGTAATTGTCAATGGTTCCGCTGATAAGCTAGCTTGATTCACTCACTCCCTTAGGGAAACTTGCTTGTTTTTGGACTGAATCTTTTATTCCCCCAAAGTGATTTTGTGTCTGATAAATCATTTCCAATCAAAGTATTATGAGTATTGTGAAAACTTGCTTGTCTGGCAAACCCTCCAAGTACTTATGCACAGTTATACACCCCTTATAATTTGTATCCGCGCTTACTGAGTGTCTTTCAGTCCAAATTTTGGTCAAATTCAAGGTTTTCTCTTCTGTTACAGTTGTTGTTTTGATAATCGGGCACTTTTGTAGGGAGCCGACTGATTTACGAAAGGTGTCTATGTTTGAGTCAATCATTTGCGTATTGCAGCGCCCATGACAACTTGTTCCTTATGCTACGCGTAATCCACAAGTTAAAAATGGTAGTTTGGCACGTCACATCACCACTCAGTTACACCATTCCTTAGTGGTGCAGGAAAAATCCTGGATCCACCCCTGTAGAATATTCTGTCTGGACCAACAGAAAGAACTCCTGATTCAGGCTAAATTTTACATGCGATGTGGTAAATAAATGTATCACCCCCTGCAGCCCATGAGAGACACATAGAGCTATATAGGGGTATATATAGAGAGGACATGATTGCAGGCGAGTAACAAACTGGAAACATAGACAGAACAACAAGTTGCGTCCCTCCCCTTTCATTTTTTTGGAAGTGACAAGATTTTAGTCTTGTTACACTGTACTAGTTTCGGCAGCACTAAAACACGGAATCCAGAATCTGGAATCTGGAAATGGAATCATGGAAATCTGGAAATGGAATCAATGGAAACGGTGTGCATATTTTACATTGAATCTAGGCTTATTAAACCTGCGGCATTATTTTTTATGTAATCGGTTATGGAATCAAGCAAATGTATGCATAATTCTCTCTTCTCTTTGGACTCCAAAATGCCATGGTTCTCTTGAGTAAGTTGTCTTGATAAATAAAATTGAACACTGTTGAAGACAACCCAGAAAAGACACCCAGGAACAACTTGACGACGATGCCTTTCAGTAACATAAACAATGCCTCTGTTGATTTAAACGAAGTCGGTCTCCATATAACTTACCTCTTTCTAGAGAAATTAGTTATTGCCAGTGACGTCTTCTCAGCTATAGTTTTTCTCCTCGCTTTGCTGTCCTATGAGAATGTGCATTCATTGCCGGAAGGGATATGAAGAGTCTTTTCACCGAAATCGACTCCTCTAGTCATACAGCAGTCTTCTCTGCCCAGGTATCAAATTTATTCATTTACTTTTATTGTCACTGCTAATATATTTTTTTTCAAATCGATCCCTTGGAACCTTCTTTCATAGATTCCGTATTCCGTTTCCGTTTCCATCATTCCGGATTCGGTGTTTTAGTGCTGCCCTACACACTAGTTTACACTCTGTCATTAATTAAAATGAATAAGTTTAAGTGTTAAGCGTACTTTTATAAATTTGTTCTAAATATTTGTGAAAGCGCACAAAATATTAGGCCTATCGGTGATCAATATCCCCTTTAGACTACACATTCCACCACTTGATACACGCAAGAAAACAATTTCCTAGTAATTCGTTTTGTTTGCATTTGCACGCATTGGTTTCCGCCGAGACTGACAACTAATCACACTTTTTTCAAATCTGAAATAGTTAACCAAAAGATTAATGGCAAAGCAACTAGAGAAAATGAAAAATATGCCACGACAGAAAGTTCTACTGTAGTATTCAAGAGATCACGCACAAATCACAATAAATATTAAACAGCTAACGTTAGGCATATTCAATTACAAAGAATTTATAACATCTAAACAAACTCAAGACAACCGAGACATTTACCTGAAAATTCCAAGGGTTGAAGAATTTCAACAACATCGTCTCGTTTCATATTTTTAAGCAGCTCAATCAGGTGACTCACTGTTTTGGCTTCACCGTTCTTCGTATGGGACATGAACCAGTCATGCAGTAGAGCAACTGTGGGATTTCTCTGTAGCGCGAAATTTCTTACCGTTTCGTAGTTATAGTTCATTTTGCCTGCCAAATACCTGAAATCTTTCATAGGATGTCTTGGATTGAGTTTCATTCCAAGTTTTTCAAGAACATCCATTGTTAAACTGCTTACGAGGGTTCGAACCCGAACAGTGTCTTCTTGTTCGTAAGTCGCCATGTTTCCTTCTGTCAAGAGACCGTCACGTGCATACACTAGGGGTGGGTAGAGGGGACTTGTTCAGGCTTCTCTCGCGATCTAACTCGGCCGGAAATTAAAAAATACAATACAATCAATAGTACAACCACATCTGCATGCCGTCAAAAATCCTAATCAGAACAGTCGGAAATTAAAATAATTGAGGTTCAATAATAATAATAATGATAATAATAATAACAATAATAAAAATAATAATAATAATAAAAAGGTGCTCAGTGTATGAACAGAATGATTGACTTGAGTGACTGACGCTCTAGGTGCATGGTTTGCGCCCGGCTGATGCACAAAAAGAACACCAGCAAAGACTGTGATAAAAGAGACAATAATAATAATAATAATAATAATAATAATAATAAAAAGGATCTGGAAGTCAAGGACAAAAGTGGTGCCAGTAGTTGTAGGTGCATTGGGTTCAGTGTCAAAGAAGCTGGCAGGCCACTTGGAGCAACTAGGAATTAAAAACCGAACAAGAACGATGCAAAAGTCGGCACTCCACGGATCGGCACATATCCTCAGAAAGGTGCTGGAAGTCTGAGGTCTCGGGATGAGACTTGACTGGATATTTCTCCCCAGGGAAAATCCCTGTGCTAAATTTTACATCCTAATAATAATAATAATAATAATAATAATAATAATAATAATAATAACGATGATGATGATGATGATGATGATGATGATGATAAAATAACTGGGGAGCTAAACGAGATCAAAATAATAAACGGCTTTGTGGGGGCCGTTCAGATCAGAGCCGACTTGAAACAACCTAGACCCAACGTCATCTTCTCAAAGGCAAAAATTTATACTCCGTACAGTGAGACCCCGAGAATACAGAGACTGACGAGACATGGCATACTGTCCGTATGAACCGGTGTTCGTATTAACCGGGTTGATTTAGAGAAAAGATATGAGCTTTTTCACGCGTTGCATAATACTTAGTGCAGAATATACTTGAAGGGTGGGAGCGACCGGTTAAGAGAAGGGTCTGGTGTTGGATGTTGGATCACTCCTAGCCTGATGTTGGATGTAAACAGGCCCGTTACAGCTCGAGGTCAGCTGACCTATCTCAAATCACAATTATCGGATGAAGAAAAACAGAAATAAACCACTCTTAGATTCAGCTATCCAGTTGAATAAGTACTGGTCACGGATCGGACTGATCGCAGCGAGCTGCTCTTCTCTGAACTTGCTCAAGCAGGTCTTCTTGATTTTTCCTGTAAGGGTCCTATGATGGCCTCCTATGATGCACATGTATGCTTAGTAGTTATTCAGAAGTTATGCAATGTTTTCGAGTGGTATCCCACGAGTAAACATTTTGGTTGCCTGCGCGCGAAAAGTCACACTTTTCTCGCACGCTGGTGGCTGCGCCGCCAAAAGTTTCCCCCGCTACTCGCATAAGTGGTAATAAAACAAAAAAAAAAACAAAAATTAAAGAACGATAAAAACGCATTGAACGTTTGATCGTGCAGGAAGTTTTTGGATATATCAATGCGCAAAACATTTAGTGTTCAGGACCCAGTTGTTCGAAGGCCGATTAGCGCTTAACCCGGGGTTAAATTTAACCCGGGTTTCTTTTTCTTCCGTTCAAAAGCATTTTCTCGGATAATTTTCTCTGTTATTTTTAGAGCTTCCAATCAACAACTTGTAGACAAAAAGAGTTAAAACTGAACTGTTGTTTAAGCTTTCAAATCTGAATTCAAATCTCGCCCTAACCCAGGATTATCTTAACCCAGCTTTGAACAACTGAGCCCAGGCGTTCAGGTAGTGGAGCGCGGTATGCCTAATACCCAGGCCGTTCCTGGGATTTTCGACTGTAGGGGTCATGGAAAAAGCGGGAAAGATGATGAGAAAGCTCAAAACACACAAAGGCAGAAGGGAAGACCCCTTGCGGCGTCTCCCTTGACGGTTGCCACCCTTAGCTCCTAAAGCCGTCACCCCTGAGGGGTACCAACCGGCAGGGGCCGAGGCCGATGCGGAGGTATGCTTTACGTTTCTTGGTCATAGGATGCCCTTTAGACTCAGAAACGAGACTCTATGTTAATTTATGCAAGACAAGACTTTGTTAAGCGGTTTTAAACCGATCAAGGGAAGAAGCCAGTTAGAACTAGAACTACGGAGAAAATTTCCAGTCCAGGATTTTCCGAGTTGTAAAAACGAAAATAGAGAGTTAAGCTTCACGTACACGTCAATCGGCCAACGCGAGTTTTTAACTACGTGACCAATTAATTGTCGTTTACTGTTCAATACTTCTACACATAAATAAGAAGGTTCACGCAACTTTTTATCGACAAGAATTGCTTCGAGCTGTTTTTATCTGCTCATTTTCTGTTCTGAGAAATTTTCAACTTTTATCAGACGTTTGCCGTTTGCCCTATACATGAAGCTAAAACTGTCTAATGTTTTAGGACCCAAAACTTGAACAGCCTGCTTCTAATAAAAAAGTAAGTTAATTAGCCAACGCGAATGATTCCTACCTCACGCTATGCCACATTTAGGGCCTGTTTACACGGAAATGGGGGACCCGAGGTAATGTAACCCGCTCAGATGGGGTAAAAAAAGTAACCCGCGTTCACGTGCAATATTCCAGCCCTAGTCCCATTGTGCACTTTCTCAAGGTTAGTAAATATTCGCCAAGCATGTAACCAAAAAAATGACGGGCAAACGACGTTTTGGCAGTTAATGCCTTCCTATCCTCACTTGCTGCTCTTGTTGCAATCTTTCAGTGCTGTGGCCAGGGGCATTCTTGTCACTGTCAAGTCTTTTAATAAAAAAAAAGCCTCCGCCAAAAGCTTTTCGCAAGAGTTTGATGTAACACGAATCCGACCCCGGCTAGGCGGGTTACCCCACCTTGGCAAAACTTGACCCTGGCTGAGACCCGGGTCTGGTACACCGGGCAATCCGCATCGGCAATTTACCCCACCTATCATGTAAACATGGTCAAATTAAAATGAGAGATTATATGGACAGGCGGGTTACCTCACTTAAGCGGGTTACCTCACTTACCTAGGGTCCCCCACCTCCGCGTAAACAGGACCTTAAACTTTTTTAAGAATTAGGTAGAGATTTTTCAAGGCCAATGAATTTAATAATTTTCAACTGAGTTTTGAAGCCCCCTGAAAAATCTAGGATCTTATCTTAACCCATACTCTCCTAGACGAAGTTAGTGCGAGATCATTTGTCACTCTAACTCCGAAATCTCTGCGTGACGAAATTCTATAGTGTTACCATTCACATGAAACCTCTCGGGCATTAGTTTTGCATAGTACTGTTTATTTCTTACAAAAAGATTTGGGAAGAATTTTGAAAGTTTTTTCCATTGGTCAATATAATGACTGCACATAACAACTTTTTCAATGGGCTCCTCCTAGAACGGCTAACACATACGTCACTGCTAGTCCCCAGTCAATTAATTTAGCTTGCGTAGCTGGCGGTTTTTTTTGGGGGGGGGGGGGGGGGGAGGGAGGGTTTGTTTTTTCTTTTGTGTTTCGTTAAGTAAAAGATAGAGCCGCGCGAAAGCTGAATCGAGGTCGAACCAGAAAACGATGGGAGAGGGGTTAGGGATTTTTCTCTCTGCCCACGTCCCCTTCTCGAACTTTATTTCGTTTGACTTCGCGCGGCTGTATAAATATGAACCAAAAAAATCACCCAAACAAACCGACATTAGAAAGAATATTTGTTTTCTTGAATTTTGATTTAGCAATCGGCCGAGAGTAAAGACCAATCTACTTTTTGCCGTCCCCTCCTTTCTTTTTTGCTCTTCTCTGTTCCGACATGTCATCAAGTTTTTTGTCCAGCTTGCGATGCAATTGCGCTCTCCGCGAGGCGTCTGACGCTTTTGGTTTAGCACTCTTTGGCTGACTGGAAAGTTGTTTGGCGCGAATTTTAGCCGCCTCGCCACAACCGTGAACCTCGGGAATATGATGGGACAAACAGTAAATCCTTTCACAACATTTACAAATCTGTCCCAACGTTCTTATGCTCTGTTTACAAGTTTCATAAGCGCACTGAGTGTCTAGCTTCGTAAAAGAAGCCAACAGCTTGTCAAGATCCTCCTCGTGTTGTTTGGCAGGAGGAAGTTTAGTTTTTACACCGGTTTTCACCGGTTTGGGGGTTTTTCTTCCTGGAGAATATTCTTTATGTTTTGTTTCGTCCGGCTGCCTGACTAGTGACCTGAGTTGCTGCTCGCAGCGAAGCGAATGAAGCTGAAGGTTACAACTTGGAACTTGCTTCTTGCACAAAGGACAAGTGCTAACTAGATCATTGTCATCATTTTCGTCTGTAAATGCAAAAGTAGAAGATAATAGAGAAACGTTCCTAGGATAATTTTTTCAATAATTAACAATTGGTGAATGAGGCGGAGTATCTTATGAAGAATTATGGAGATTGAGGAGGGTGTAATCCGTCGAGGCCGTAGGCCGAGGCGGATAACACCCTCCGAGATCTCCATAATTCTTCATGTGATACGAAAGCCGGATTCAATAACTGTTTTATTATTCATTCAAAACAATTGCTAGTTTAAAAACATAGCTAAAACATGCTTGCCTCTATCGATCCATCGATGTTCAGTTCATCTTCGATAGTGTACGTTTAGGTTTGTCCTGCTCCGCAAATATTCTCCAAATAGCAGATGTCGCCCTTCGAGTTGTCTTCTTGCAGTTCTTGCCATGTTTTTAGCTATTTTTTCGCCTAGTTCCTACTCTTGAAACGAGTGAAATGTCCGCCATTTTTTCAAGTTCACAACCAAAACAACTCAACCTCGTCCCCAGGTCTTCTCCGTTGACGGTGCCTTAACCTGCGAAAACGCTGCATTTTTGACCTCATTTCCTCGTTAAAGTCAAATTTCTTCCAAATTTGGTCATCAGTAACTGGTTATGGTGAATTAAACGTGTGCTTTTAGCCAATAAGAATGGGGGAAATATTTTGAATGAGTAATAAATTGCGCTTAAGCAATGAATCAACCCCTTAAAGAACTCATAACCTATATTAAAGTTAAGATACGAATGTGACATTCGTAAATCCACTGGGGGATCGTTGAGGGTCCGCCATGAACCTGTTTGTATTTATCCGTCCATTGTATGTAATTTCCTGCAAAATTTGTAATTTTCGTAGTCTCAATCCAGGACATATCCCCTGGGTGATGACTCTATTAGTGATGACTCCAATACCTTCTTTCGCGAGGTACTTTGCGAAGTGGGGTGTGGATTGTGAGGCGGCGGAAGGTGGAGGGGGCTCATTTTATTCATGTTTTGTCACTTAAATCATGCCAAATCTACCGACACTTTTCTTTCTGTATGTAAGGAAATCTGACCCCAAGGAGTAGAAAATTGTTTGCTCGGCGTAGCGATGGTTCATGTGTTTAAGAGACTGCCCTAAATAACAAAAGTAAATCCTGCAAATAATATTAAACTATCCCCCCTACGGGAGGTGAAAAGTAATGGATATATACGCAAAGCGTCGAGGTTTGTATCTGGCACTATGCACCGACCTTGAGAGGATAGTGGTTTACGTATTTACCAAATATGTTGGATAAAAATGAAACTATACTTTTGGTAAAAACGCTTTAATTGTTTTTATTTTCAATTGTTTAATTCTGTAGCAAATTTGGTGAGAAAATAATTGTCCTCCTTCTGATAAACATCAACAAGTCAAATTTCGTCGCTTTTTTGGTATTTTTGGTACAGCTGCTTCATTAGTTGCAGAAATGTCGTCTTCTAAAACTTTCGTGAAACAGGACGCCATATTGACTCCCGTCCTAAAAAAGTGAATAGCCAAGGATACCCCGAATTACGGGAGCAAATCCGAACGTGCGAAAATCGCTATCTACTGGTTTGGTAAATACTAATGCTGGATATAAATAACTGATGCCAAGCTAACAATCCCCATCAGTTGGCAAAGAAAACATTTATTATGCAACAGCTAAACCCACCTTTCGAAGCCGACTTGGGCCGTTTCCTTACAACAATGTATCTCTCTTTTCCTTCTCCTATGCTTTCATGATCGAGCCCTAACTCTTCCGCAATGCTGTGCACGTCAAATCTCTGTTGCGAGTTTAAAGTCTTGGGAAACGAGAGTTCATTTTTCGACTTATCCTGCGTAAAATTCAAAATTTCTTTCTCTAAAGTTTCACGACTGTACTTTGCAGTAACGGTAGTATCACAAGACGATGGTCCAGGAAGCTGTCGATAATCGTCACTGCTCTTGAAATCTACAGAAGGTGAAGATTGGGTTGAAATAACGCTTGCATGAGATGAAAGAGACTGATCGCGCTCCTCGGTATTTCCATTGCAGACTACGCCTGACTCGGCTTCACAATTAACTGAGGCGTTCAAGGGCACTCGATCTTTGGACTTCCCATTCTTAGCTTCTACTTCTTTCTTGTTCTTGTAATCTTTATTTTTTCCTTTTATAAACACCTCGTGGTGTTCATAATGGTAAGACGAAGCGTCAAGTGTTGGAAAAGAGTCGTGGATATATTCATGCGCAGATCGCACCTCTCCCTGGCTGGCCATGTACTCCATTAAAGATTTCAAGAAGTCGTCGTTACTTACAGTCTCAGAATCAGCAATAACAGCAAGATGGCGTCGGGCTCGAGTAATGGCTACGTTAATTCGTCTGTGTTCGGCTAGAAAACCAACTTCGCCTTTCAAAATAAACAGAGAAAGCTGGAAAATTAGTTATTAGTTTAAGCATTCGGACAAAAAAACAAACAAACAAACAAAAAGAAAAAACAGCACCAACATCCTCTACAGTATGTGTACACGAATTTAGTAGTAACAAGAGAGACTCTCCTGGTAACAAAAACATGCTAAAGCCGTCCTTTAAATCCCCCATGAATAGGCGAATCTTTGTTTACACTTTGTGCCTCATCAACATATGCTTATTATTATCTGATAAAGCTAATAAAACGAAATCTCTGAATATTGAAAGAGCAGAAGAATTTCAGTTATCTTTGGAAATTTGAGCCCTAAATACTGAATCGTTTCGGAGGAATTCTCTTTTAAAAACTCGAAATTTTAGAAACAATGTATGGCTCGTTGACTTTTTTGCCACCCAGCATTTTCGCAGCTTTTGATGGCTGATATTTCCTTCCTTATTGCCTGCAAAGATAAGTCAATAACCTCTTTCAAGTTTTGAATTTAGTTCGTGTATATGTATACGGCCACGGCTTCTATGAGTTAAGTCGTAACCTAATGAGGAAATATGCAACAATGACGTCAGCGAAGATTCGCCTGTAAGTCCGGGAAAAAATTCAGGCTTGAAGGGGATTTAAAACGACATAATGTCTAACTCCGAGATGGTATTGCACCATTATAGCAGTAGCCTTGCACGCAGACGTTCTTTCTTAGGGCTTGGTCACATGTTACGCGTGACGTCAAACGGCAAATGCGTATTTGTACCACGTGACCAAGTTTCTCATTTACCTTTCGTTTACTGTTCATTATTTCTACACATAAATTAGTAGTTTCACACAATTTTTTATCCATAAGAATTGTTTTGAGAAGTTTTTATCTGCTTATTTTCTATTTTGAGAAATTCTCAACTTGAATCTCACGTATGCCGTTTGCCGTATACGTGAAGCTTAAACTCTCTGTTATCGCAGGGTAATGGATTCGAATCCCGTTCAAGTAAGAATTTTGTCCCAGGCTTAGTTATTCCGCGTTAAAAAATGTCTTAGCTGATATGTTCTTCTGCTGTAACTCCTGTTGTATGCGGCACGCGCGTGCATTACCTTTACTGTTTGAGCGCACAAGTGAAATCACAACAGCTTCTTTTTCTCTTCCTTGAAATCCGTCAACAGACTTGATCTCAAGCGCTGGGTACTGGGACGAGAGGCGGAGCCTAAGCAATTCAACCTGGACAAAAGACACACTGCACGTGATTTCTCTGGCGCAGGGAAGAAGGGACTGTACCCTGGGGTCAATTTCAAACAAACTTTACAAGTGTAATTTAAAATTGTAAATTACACTTGTAATAGATTTAATAGTTTAATAAATTGACTCCTGCACTTAACTACACCTGACTATAATAAATACGAAAGCTGTTCGTATTGCATGTTAGGCGACTGAGAACAGGTGTTGTACAGCATAGATAGGATATAATCGCAATACGATTTGTCATAAAGTTTCTTATGTACATAACCTTATTGATGTAAAATTTCGTTGACAATATTCTTTCAAAACATTGTAGATTAACATGGTTGGAAAAAAGTCTGATGAAATTCAAGCTGGAATTCAAGTTTATTTCGAGCCCTTGTAATGTTTAAAGGGTTTTTGTCCTCAATAAAAACAACAACAACTAAGCTAGTCATAGTCAAATTTCACTGGTCTATCCCGCTAACAAAGCGTTTTTTCTTGCATAGTATTTAGCAGGTACGAAGCTGTTAGCGCCCGCCTAAGTACAGACAGCCGCCAGGGATGAGATGGCGTTGGATAAAAGGGAGAACTCAGAAGAGAATGGTGGAACGCCTTCATGTACGGTAATAAAAAAGTATGTATGGTCCAAATCACCTGCAAAGAGGGATTTTTAACCGTTCTGTAAATTAATTTACAATTTGGTACGAAACCGGTCATGTTTTGCTCTGTTTCTGAAAGATTATCGAATTTTTGCATAAAACGAAATTAATATAACAACACATTTAACTCGCGGAATGAATGTGATAATACTTGCCTGAAGATTATAAGGTGCGATAACAGCTATATCACTTGGCTTAACACCAGCGGCCATAAGCGACATGACATGCGTGGCGACGATGTCAACTTCACCTTCATTGCCTTTGGAGACTTCGTCCTCTACCTCTTTCTCTCTGACGTCACATCCGGTGGTGTCAATTAACAGCAGCGGAAGTGAGGTCACGTCTGTTTCTTGTACTCCAGGAAGATCCTTTAAAAGATGAGATTCAACGGAACTGTGCGCTTGTAGTCGACCCTCGTAGAGTTTCTCTGATGACCAGTTCATAATCGCTGCATTCATTCTGCGTTGAGTAAGAAACATCATTTTAGGAGGGTCGTAATTGAAGTGAAGTGGCAAGGCAGTTGACTTTTCAAACGAATGATTTCAGTGTAACAATGTGAACCACTCCTTTCAGGTTGTTTTATGATGCAGATGTAAGATTAAGCAGCTAATATCGCTGCTATCTCAGGTAGGGGCTTATAATTATAATCCCTCTTATCTCTAGTGGGGAGGGGTTCAAGTATTCATTGATTAATTCATGTTGTCGAAGGGATAAGCTCAAACTCGTCTGTGACTTACAATCACTTAACCACAACGTAATTCTGCAAGTTCTATTTCATGCCGCTTTTATTGTTCAACAATTGATAAAGTTCTGATTCACTGATTCTTGGCACGCAAATTAAGCATAGTAATGAGGATGAAGGCAAACTAGCTCTTTCTACCACCAAAAAAGCAATTAACCATTTTCCTTCCTCCCTTTTTTGCTTCTCTACATTGTTTTTCTTCCTCCACCACCGCCACCACATTTCTATTTTTCCGTCCACCACCACCAAATTTGTATTGTTTTTCCTTCTCCATTGTCACCCATGTTTTTATTGTGTTCACTTCTCCACCACCACCATAATAAGGGGCCGACCATTTAACTCTTGAGGGGGGGTGGGTGATTTAGAAAAAAAAATTTCCTGCAAGCGCTTGTCGGAAGAAAAACATTGCATGCAGCACAAATGTAATAGAAAGCTTATGGGGAAAAAAGGGGAAAAAAATATCCTGCCCACCAGATTGCTAGAAAAAAAATTCTTGATGACCAGAAATCACCCCCCCCCCCCCCCCTTCAAGAGTTAAATGGTCGGCCCCTAATGATAAACCAACGCATTTTATTCATGAGATAAAGACAAAAGGCGGTGACGTCATCGTCATCATCATAATGATTCCATTTCAGAAAAATGAGATGGTCCCCACAGTACTGAACAGCATCTGCCCAGAAACGTATAACGATCCAAATTGACGATAATTATGTACTTTCCTGTTTTACACACCTGTATTGAGTTGTCAACATACGTACAGCAGAATCTCCCAGCAGCTTTGTGAGTCTTTCCATCAGAGTGACTTCCAGGCCTTGTTTCGCTGCCTCTACAGATATTATTGTGGGCGGTAATTGAAGGTGATCTCCAGCAAGAACACACCTGGCAAGAACAAAGGTTCATGTCGAACCTAGCCTTTGCGTACAGCCGCCCCCCTCTCCTCAAAAAACAAACCAGAAGAAGAGAACAAACGCCCCCCCTCCTCCCCTCCAAAAGTAAACGTTTTTCAGTCAATTGAGGGTGCCCAATGCTTCGGGATGCGGGATTTGTCTTATTGGAAGATTGGGATTCACGATTTTGGAGGAGCAAGGAGGTGATACATGTACTCGGGATTGTCATTATGAAAGGGATGCAGGATTTGGAGATTTTGTGACACGGAATTCGGGAAATGTCGTTCAAAAGAACCAATATCTGATAAGGAAAGTCAGCTAAATTAAATTATCTCAAATATCCTTTCCTTGACTAATTAACAGAAGATACAGACATTTTCCTTGACCCTGTCATTAGACTATTTTTACCCTGTCCTATTTTTATGCCTCTTCTGTCACTGGTTCCGGTTAAGATGAGAGAATCTAGAACCTTGAAAGAGACCACTTTGGAACGTATGTTGGGGTTCAGGATTAGCCAATAATAACCACTGGGAAACCTATGGGGATCCCTCTTAAACATGGTTTAAAGGATGGTGTCATTCTTTAGGTGCATTTGCAGCCTCTCTCCCCCAACATTAGAAAAAGTTCCAGCATGTACATTATACAGCATTGCATTTCTTAATAGTTGTCTTTGAGAAGAGCCAAAAGGACATCTGTAAAGTACAAGTGGGGCCATAAAATCACTTGTGTTAAGAACCCCTAAGGTTTTTTCACAGACATGCCAGTGTAACCCAGACCAAGAGCAGTCATCCATATTTCCTCATGGCCACACACGAGGAGAGAGAAAAAAAACAAAATTATGCAGATTAATGATAAGAAGGAGAAGAGATTGGGGAAGAGAGAGGAAAAACTTTTTTCTTTGTTCGGGCTTCCACTCTCGTTTTTTCTAGCTTTGGTGTTTGTTGCTTATGTGTGCTCACAGTCTTAGTGTAGCCAAAAAGGTACTTGTACCTTGGGGCCCGCAGTAAAGGTATCCAGCAGCCAGCTTCCAAAGACTGTGCAGCCTCGTCAATAACAACCAAATCAAAATGTTCTGCTTTAACAAGTTTCAGGGGACCATCTGCTGATGCACTTGTATTGGTTGCTAAGACAACATCAGCTCTCGTGAGAATTTCTGCGATCGCCTTGTCTTCTCTTTGTCTGAGCTCTTCTCGAAGTGTCTTTATTTCCTGTTTCAGATGTTTCTTCTCTGAGGGATTTCGTGTCTTTCTAACCTTTATCTAATGAACAAAGGACAGAAAGGCCAAAAATTCAGGTGCAGCTATAATAAGAGAAATTTATACAGTTACATGCTTGTTACTTACTTATATAAACATTACTAATGAATAAAGGATAGAAAGGCCAAAAATTCAGTTACAGTTATAATAAGAGAAATTTATACAGTTACATGCTTGTTACTTACTTATATAAACATTACTGCATTATCAAGTAGAGACGAAGAGAAGAACACAATTGTACATTTTGAAAGAGTAAAGAACTCTACGAAGAGAAAAGACAGATCCTATCTATATGACCAGTAGTGAAAAAGAATTTGAAAGAGGATAAGGTCATTGTTATTAGGTTACATGTTTGAGTTCTTTTTTAGTTTTAGGACCTTCTTTGTGTACACCAATTTCTCCATTTTCTTAAAAGCCAACATCTTTTAATTTTAATTTGATCTGGAATGTGGTAGATGAAGAGCCAATTCCCAGATATGCTACACCTAAAATCCAAGAAATCCTATAAATTTATTCAAATGCAATGTACTTTATCCTATTATCCCATATCAGTGTTACCAGTTTTCTCTAAATTCCTAGAGAGAATCGTCTACAATCGCCTCATTAATTTTTTAAATAAATATGATATTATTTCCCGGAATCAGTATGGATTCAGAAAAATTATTCTACTGCACATGCTTTAATCCAATTGTATGACAAGATCTAAAATGCACTTGATAATAAAAGGGTAACTTTAGGCCTATTCATTGACTTATCTAAGGCCTTTGATACAGTAAATCATGAAATTTTGCTCGACAAATTAGAACATTATGGAGTACGTGGTATTGCTTTACAATGGTTTAAAAGTTATCTATCTTGTCGAAAACAATTTGTGCAATATAATGGTTACAACTCTTCATCATTAGATATCACTTGCAGAGTCCCTCAGGGATCTATCTTAGGTCCCCTGTTATTCTTAGTATATATAAATGATCTATGTAATGTGTCAAAGGTCTTAGAGCTGATACTATTTGCTGATGACACTTATACCTTCTATTCGCATACTGATGCTTCCTATCTTATGGAAGTTGTAAATTTAGAATTGAAAAAGATAACGTGTTGGTTTTATACAAATAAGCTATCTATTAATGTTAAGAAATCTAATTTTATCATATTCAGACCGAGACAAAACAGGCAAACACTTGATTTAGCTTTTAATATTAGTAATTATTCAATTGACCGTGTCAAGGAAGCTACTTTTCTTGGTGTAATTTTGGATGAACATTTAACATGGAAATCACATATACATAATGTTGCTAGGAAAGTGTCTAAAGCCATAGGTATAATTTATAAATCAAGCTTTTGCCTTAATAATTCCTCCTTACGGATGCTTTATTTTAGCCTTATCTACCCATACTTATTCTACTGCGTGAGCGTCTGGGCATCGACCTACCCATCAAACCTCAGAAGATTAATCACACTTCAAAAACGGGTCGTAAGAATAATGTCGAGGAGTGCTTTCGATGCTCACACTGACCCCTTATTTAAAAATTTAAAAATTCTGAATCTTGAGAGTATCTACAAACTTCAAATAGGAAAATTTATGTATCAATACAGATCTGGCTTACTTCCTTATAGCTTCAATAACATGTTTCTGGTGACACGCCAGGTGCATTCTTATGGCACTAGAAGTTCGGAGCATTTTTATTTACCACAATGCAGGACTAATATAAGAAAGTTCTCCATCAGTTTCCAAGGTCCTAAATTTTTTAACTCTCTTAGTTTTGAAATTCGAAATGCAACAAGTACCGCTTCCTTTTGCTGCAAGCTGAAAGCATTCCTCTTGTCATAAATAGTAATTTATATATATATATATATATATATATGTATTTTTTTTTCTTCCTTTGCTCTTTTATTTTATTTTGTTTTGTTTTGTTTTTTTCTTTTTGTCATTTCGCTTTTTTTAGCCTAGAACTATAATTAGTACGACTATCTAATATACTTATTTTGAGATTTACTGTAGCTCTGCCATTGATTTTCCCGTGTGTAATTATGATAATATTTTGTTCTAATTATCTAACTGAGGGAGCCCATTCCTTATAAGCCCGGCGGCTTCTTCTTGGGCTTCCTTGCCATGAGAGTTAAGGTAATTAGATTTTATTTGATTTGTTTAATTTTTGGCAAACAAAACAATAAACAATAAACAATATTAAAGTTTGGCCTTCCTGCAATTCTCTTGTGTTTTTCTGCAGATGCAACATTGTTATTTGTGATATCTATGTCAGTTCTACAACCCGTTGGTGAGTGTGAAAAGCCACTCAAACAGGACAATCATACAAAGCTCAATCCAGGGCACAAAACTGCTGTCCAGTAGCCTGGCACTGGTGGAGGGCCCCATCAGGCAAGCAGGTTTCAAGTACAAGTCAAATGTAGATCTAGAATAAATTCTGACCGACTTCCTACTTCTAGAGAGCTCTGGGAGCATCCTTTTGGATGTGAACACCCCAAAGTCCCCTTTCCTGGGTTTCTGTGTCATTCAGACAGGATATTTACTGACTCTCCAAATCATTTTCCAGATTTCAACTTGGAAAGTTTAAAGTTTTTTACTAAAAATATATTTGTTATAAAAAATCTGACCAATTTCCATAAAACAGTGGAAACTGGTATGGATCCATGCCTGAAGCTAACCGACAGGCACGTAGTACATGTAATAAGTGTAAGGGATGTGATAGGCTGGCATGACTGCCTTGGGCAAGTAATCCTTTTAACTTTCATCTCACAAAGTGTCAATCCCCTTTCACAGGTAATCAATCAACATGATTTAAAGCCAAAGAAACAATATACTTTTGCCCTACCAGTGTTTCATCAATGTCTTTTCTCACATCTCTCACAATGGCTGTTCCTTCAGAATTAGACAACAGTGCATCAAGGGAATGCTCTTGAACGGCACTGAGCAGACGAGCAGGGTGACCAAGTCTCACAACCTACATAAAATTCAATTTTTGAAATAATAATAATAAAAGAAGACATAACAGTGTCTCTAAAGTGAAACAAAACAATTTAAGATAAGGGGTTGGGAAGATTTTGGCTTCATCGTCAACATCATCAGGTCAAGTCTCCTTGGGAACAAGTAGCAATGACCTGCCAGGAGCAGCATACTCGCTAGTGTCACGCCAAAGTTGGTCTATGTAAGTTGACTTCTAACTGCCCCAGAAGCTTGACACTGCTGGGGCTACCAAAGAACAAGACTGCGCAGTAATACTGAAACTTGCGATTATAAGCCCTGGACTTACAAAACTTTGTAAGGGGTTTTAGGAGTGCTTATTAAAGGGGGGCGGGGTTATAACCAGACTAAAAAAAGTGTCTCAAAACAAGCTACTTAGCAGGGCTGATCAAAGTACTTTTTGAATGTGATCGCTTCTTTAAGCTTCAAAACGTCATAAAAAGTCAAATTCATTTCAATGCATGCTAGAGGGGGGCTAATAACCAGGCCCCAGTTGTTCAAAAGGTGGATAGCTCTACCTAGCAGATAAATCTCTATCCAGTGGATAGTGCAATTGGTTTCCCTAATACATATCTGCTGGATAGTGATTTACCCAGTGGATAGCACTATCCAGCTTTTGAACAACTGGGGCCAGATGTACTTTTTGTTTATGCGTAGATGGGCCTATAAATAGGGGGAAGGGGTGTTATAATCGCAAGTTTACGGTATGCCCTACTAGATTAAGTCACCTAGATCTTATTTTAGAGAAGCAGTTTAAATTAGTGGGTCAGAATTAACTAAAATTTGACTTAATGGAAAAGTAATAAATTTCATTAGTTTGTGTTAGTGGGGAGTTTGGGTTGACCTTGGTATCTACTGTACTGGTGAACATTTCACCAAGTGTCCTGTTTCAAAGTGGAGCTCAGTGCTCTGAACTGGTGAAATCCAGAGTGTCCAGCATAGGATTTCTATGAAAAAGCTAAGAATTTTCCTCGTCACCCAAGAGGTAGAGCACAGCCTTGAGTTTGTTGTATATTAATAAGGTTAATTGAACAAGCACAACAAATTAAAAAATTAAGCTCTACCTTGACTTTGCCTTTCACTAGCTTCTCAACTAAGTTATCAACAGCAACATTGGAAGGTGCACAAGCAAGAACCTAAAAAATCAACAAAAAGATGCATTCTCATTGTCTTGAAAAATGGTATGGTTCAAGGAGGTTGTTGATTTTTATAGCATGAGGGTTTGTAGGGATTTCTGGATGCAAAATTCAAGACTTTTTCCAGACTTTTTGCGAAACTAGTACGATAATCCAGACTCAACGTTATCAACTAAGTGATCAATAGAAACCTGTACAATCATGGGAACCAAAATTTCCCATAATGCACTGCAAACAGTCAGGAACCACAGTGCAATGTCAAGGCTACTGCCTAACGGGTGCCCGGTCACCAGACGCTCCTATGATTTGCGCACTGGCGACTACACTTTTAAACAAGGAGTCTTCTACAAGGATGCCTCAAACTTATGATTCTTATGGCAATAGCCTGTACGCCTACTTCCAATGAACGAACAACCGAATTTTCTGCTCATTTTGCGCTTTTGAAATGGAAACGTAAAATGTGTGTCTGTCTACACTACACAAAAAATTTCCGCTGATAAAAGTAAACAAACAAGCACTTTTCTGGAAATTCGAGACTCAAACAAATCGACTTTTGAGATGCATGAATCAAGTTTCAAGCATCTGCTTCCTTATTTAAGCTTATTGATCAATGGGCTCCTAGAAATGTGGCTCGGGCTCCTTACTTTTTATGTTTGGAGCCTGAAGGGCAAACAGAAAATTTTCTTAAGCAGCAGCCTTGAATGTAGACAAAAGATAGTTCTGAGACTTGTTATTCGGTGATTGAAAGTTTTGGCTACAGATGAGATTAAATTAGACATGACTTAGGGAAAAATAATACTGACACTTAACCATTAAACACTTGCACTTGCTGTAGTTTTTTTTCTTTCTAAAACAAAAATCTACACTTTCATTTTTCAGACTTTTTCCATCTCTGGAAAGCTGGTTTACCAATTTCAAGAATTTTTAAATGGGGATTATGTTTCATACATCAAAGTTTGACGTTTGAACATAAGGCACCTCACCTTCATGTTAAGTTTTTTGACAGCTTGCATGATTATTTCCACCACAGTTGTAGTTTTACCAGTGCCTGGTGGTCCATGCACTATAGCTACCTCCCTTTGACACAATGCAAACTTTACCGCTTGTTTCTGTGACTCATCAAGATCAGGATTAAATAACGAACATGGTGACTCTTCGTTAAAAGGTCGAATTTGTAATGGTGGGCCTGGAGACAGATTCCCAAACAGGACATCAATCAAATGAGCCGCAGGACCTTCTCTGTATTTCGTCAAAGCATCAAGAGCACTGCAGAAATGGCCGACACAAAAATAATATAATTTATTAAAAACTTATATAAAGGTGGAACTTGACCCATTTGTAAAAAAGTTCTAACTCAGTCTAGTTGTTGCACATTAACAACTCAGTTAAATTTGGACCCTTCATACAAATGCATGTAATTGTTACAAAGTGTAACAAAGACAACCAAAAATGCAGGTTGTTAAAATGTCAATCACTGGCAACAACAGCTCTATTCAGGACTACAGTCACCTGGAAAAGCATATTCCATCAACTTATGATGGGACTCAGGTTCATTCAAACTATTATTTGAAATACACATGCTAACATTTTTGGAGTCAAAGGCATGCCATTTTTATACTGAGAGTGCCAGAAATTTACGTAGAGAACCCAATCATATCCAAAGATGTTCTGAGGTTTTCTGAATTTCTCAGTTTCAGTACTTTCCTAATAAAATTGGAGATTTCAGGGAGAGTATGATCGTTCACATGGACTCTTCTTTTTTGCATTGGTTCTGATTGTTTTTCCTTGTATATTTTTAAAAAATCACAAGTTAAGGCTGCAATAGCTCATTTTTCTCCCAAGAAGGAGAAATTAGTCTGTAGGAATAAATTGGCATGAGATCGAAGGTTTTGATCTGCACACATAAGACTCCTGCCTAAAGTGTGAGAGTTGGCAGGTAATTGCATTTACTGAAAGTGAAATTGATGGTATTTTCATAGAAAATGTTAATTCCCATAATAACAAACCTTTTGATCCTTTTATGAGTAACATCATTTGCAAGTTTTACTAGTTTAAATGGCCCATCATCATCAAATGTCAAGCTGTCAGCTGTTTCTTCAAATGCCACTGTGACAGCTGTTTCTGTGACACGGCTGACAATTCCAGAGGCAATGTCTTTGACATCTCCACTTAACCAACCAAGCCCAACTATATCCCCTATAAAATACACATCAAATGCTTTATTTCTTTGATGTGTACAAATGATGGAAGGAATTTGCTTGAGGAAGAGATTCTGTAGTTGCCATAATATTTAAACTTAATGTATACACTTTTAAATATTCTTCACTGCATACCTTGTAGCCTCTAGTTTCAGTAATAAAGTGAAACAGTATTATTTATATACTCAAATTTCTCATTATCTTGAAAATCATAAGAAGACTACCTGGAGTAAAGGAATGTGAAGGAAGTTTTCCGTCAGAACCTGGCTTGTTTAGTTCAAAAGTCAAAAGACATCTTCCATACAATCCAGTTTTTCGGCCTCTAATACGAAGCTTTAGCAAACAAACTCCTCTCTTCTGAAGTTCCTTCGGACTAATGTTTTCTTGGAGAGACCTTGTCTCTTCTATTTCAGCTTTCCTTTCTAAATTTAGAAGAGAAATTGTTTTTGCAACAAATTTTGGCAAGTTGGCAGCCATGTTGAGTCACTATAGTGAAACATAAATGACGAAAATTGCGTAATTGAAATTTAACGCTGGGCTGTTTAATGGCAGGCTCACCGCCAGGAGGGGCCCTTGGGGCGGGTAGTACTTGGTGTAAGACTGCCCAAAATGTCCCGGGCCACCGCCCACCGCTGTCAGTGCTGTAGTGGCTGTACCCTAGTAGACATAATGATACCTGTAGTGGCTGTAGTAGCTGTAGTACCTGTAGTAGCTGTAGTAGCTGTAGTAGCACCTGTAGTAGCTGTAGTAACCGTAGTAGCTGTAGTACCTGTAGTACCTGTAGTACCTGTAGTAGCCGTAGTAGTAGCTGTAGTAGCCGTAGTAGCTGTAGTAACTGTAGTACCTGTAGTACCTGTAGTAGCTGTAGTACCTGTAGTACCTGTAGTAGCTGTAGTAGCTGTAGTAGCTGTAGTAGCTGTAGTAGCTGTAGTAGCCGTAGTACCTGTAGTACCTGTAGTACCTGTAGTAGCTGTAGTAGCTGTAGCTGTAGTACCCGTAGTAGTAGTAGGTGTAGTACCTGTAGTAGCTGTAGTACCTGTAGTAGCCGTAGTACCTGTAGTACCTGTAGTACCCGTAGTACCTGCTGTAGTAGCCGTAGTAGCTGTAGTAGCTGTAGCCGTAGTAGCTGTAGTAGCTGTAGTAGCTGTAGTACCTGTAGTACCTGTAGTAGCTGTAGTACCTGTAGTACCTGTAGTAGCTGTAGTAGCTGTAGTAGCTGTAGTACCTGTAGTACCTGTAGTACCTGTAGTAGCTGTAGTAGCTGTAGTAGCCGTAGTAGCTGTAGTACCTGTAGTACCTGTAGTACCTGTAGTAGCCGTAGTAGTAGCTGTAGTAGCCGTAGTAGCTGTAGTAACTGTAGTACCTGTAGTACCTGTAGTACCTGTAGTAGCTGTAGTACCTGTAGTACCTGTAGTACCTGTAGTAGCTGTAGTAGCTGTAGTAGCTGTAGTAGCTGTAGTAGCCGTAGTACCTGTAGTACCTGTAGTACCTGTAGTAGCTGTAGTAGCCGTGTAGCTGTAGTAGCTGTAGTAGTACCTGTAGTACCTGTAGTACCTGTAGCCTGTAGTAGCTGTAGTAGCTGTAGTAGCTGTAGTAGCTGTAGTAGCTGTAGTACCTGTAGTACCTGTAGTAGCTGTAGTGTAGTAGCTGTAGTACCTGTAGTACCTGTAGTAGCTGTAGTAGCTGTAGTAGCCTAGTAGCTAGTACCTGTAGTACCTGTAGTAGCCGTAGTAGCCTGTAGTAGCTGTAGTAGCCTGTATTACCTGTAGTACCTGTAGTACCTGTAGTAGGTGTACCTGTAGTAGCTGTATTACCTGTAGTACCTGTGTAGGTGTAGTGGCTGTAGTACCTGTAGTACCTGTAGTAGCTGTAGTACCCTGTAGTACCTGTAGTACCTGTAGTAGCTGTGTAGTACCTGTAGTAGGTGTAGTACCTGTAGTAGCTGTAGCTGCTGTAGTAGCCGTAGTAGCTGTAGTATCTGTAGTACCTGTAGTAGGTGTAGTACCTGTAGTAGCTGTAGCTGCTGTAGTAGCCGTAGTAGCTGTAGTACCTGTAGTACCTGTAGTAGCCGTAGTAGTAGCTGTAGTAGCCGTAGTAGCTGTAGTACCTGTAGTACCTGTAGTACCTGTAGTACCTGTAGTAGCTGTAGTACCTGTAGTACCTGTAGTACCTGTAGTAGCTGTAGTAGCTGTAGTAGCTGTAGTAGCTGTAGTAGCTGTAGTACCTGTAGTACCTGTAGTAGCTGTAGTACCTGTAGTAGCCGTAGTAGCTGTAGTAGCTGTAGTAGGTGTAGTAGCTGTAGTAGCTGTAGTAGCTGTAGTAGCCGTAGTAGCTGTAGTAGCTGTAGTACCTGTAGTAGCCGTAGTAGCTGTAGTACCTGTAGTAGCTGTAGTGCCTGTAGTACCTGTAGTACCTGTAGTAGCTGTAATACCTGTAGTATCTGTAGTACCTGTAGTATCTGTAGTACGTGTAGTATCTGTAGTAGCTGTAGTAGGTGTAGTAACTGTAGTAGCTGTAGTAGGTGTAGTAGCTGTAGTAGGTGTAGTAACTGTAGTAGCTGTAGTAGGTGTAGTAGCTGTAGTAGCTGTAGTATCTGTAGTACGTGTAGTATCTGTAGTAGCTGTAGTAGGTGTAGTAGCAGGTGACAAATGATCTATTTGGTATCGACCTTGTTCAATCAGAATGAAGTTTGTGATTACTTATTTTAAACTGGACCAAAATGTTGTCATTCATCATAATGTCTTAGCTGGTAGAGATAATCAGTTGTAGAATATTCATATTTAAAAGTTTTATAAAATTCCATTTTTTTTTTAATTTTCAAGACTGTGTCGCAAAAAAGATAGCGGATATTTCTCTCTCATTTCTGTGGTATATCGTCCAATTTAATCATCATCTAAAGATTCTGTATCTAAACTGGTTAGATTGTATTGTTCAAACATGTTTATGAATTTGCAATAATATCCGAAATTATTCATAGAATGTACATTCACATTCTTTGACATAAGGAAAGACTGTTTGATTATAGAGTCCTTATCGTTGGTGGTTCGATAAACAAAATACTTCATAATGTTTTGATTTCTCGGGATAAGCAGCGGCAATCTACCAAGTTTAGCTCTGCAAGCTATGTTAGAGGCCTTATTGTTTACTTGTGAATAACGTTTAAAGAATTTTAGGTGAATTTTTTCTATTGGGGATCTATCCCATTTTTTTAAAATCTTGCTCGGTGCACATCCCCCTTGCCTCGCTGTTGTAAGTTAAGATGGGGAATATCCAGTGAATATTCTTGTGTCAAGAATTTGGGATTAGGTATCAGGATTAAGTTTATTAAGAACTGTCGTGTTTGCTTCCGAATACTTGGAAACGCCTGAAGGGCCTTCTCTTTTATATTATATAACAGTTTTCCGATGACACCATTGTCTTTTCAAACTTGGACATTTTTTACAACTAAAGGCATTCACTGGACTGAATTGAAGTAATTAAGCTTGTAAAAACATTTTTAATGCGTAGTATAACGCGACATATAGTGGCCAAGCACCCCAAAAGAGGACTGGAAACTAGATCTGGGCTGGATGGGAAGGCAATGTAATAAGATGACAAGACATCCAAGACACAAGCAATGCCAAAAATTCAGAGGGCAGTCGCAGCGCAGCGCTGGACTTTCTCTACTTCATCAATCGCTAACGGAGGTGTAGCGCTCTATTAAACTTGCTGAATGGAGAGCTCGCCTTCAGTTTGAACACGTAATTGTTTCTACATGAGTCAATCAGGTGGGTATAGAGCGGGCAAGCCAATATTCCTATTGTAGAAGAGAGACGCCCTCTAGATATGGAGGAACTCACTTATTTTGTTTGCAGGAAATTACTTTTTTAACTGGTTATAATAATGGGTGATGTCATGAACGAGTAGTGTAGGAGCTGCTTGCAAGGTCTTTCATAATTGGAGGCGGGAAACAAAGACAAGTCATTCTTTTGGGTCAGGGTTAGGCACCACTGGACCCTCTTGAACTAGATCCTTGCGCATGTTAATACTAGGGAACCCACCAACAGGGCTTGTCTTTCAACATAGCACACTACTCTAGCCCAACAATACTACCAAGTGTGGAATAGATGAACTTTTCTAGCCCGAAAGTGCCTCAAATCTCAACCAATAGATACAGTTGTACCATAATCTACCTAAGGATCAAAGGCTTTGATATAGACAGGGAAAAGTGATTTAAAGGTGGCTTAGTTAACGTCATTTATTATGGTGTGATTTCTTATTCTTAAATTTCTTCACCTTTGGTCGAGTTAACGTACTTCTTCATACCAAAAGCTTCATCGTGCCATGTCCGCTTTAATTTTGAGTATTAGGCGGTTCTGGGCGAAAGGGGGAAGAGATAAGGTTGAGAAGGCCTGATACTCAGTCTACGTCTGCTTATATACTGGTCTGTCAACATACAAGAACAACAACAACAATAAGCTTTATTTTCACAGCCATAAAAAGTTTCAGCTTCAACAGAATTCTATCAGTCATAAACAGAGCTGAACAGAAACAGAAAAACACATAGTAAAGGGTGAAAGCCTCAGGGGCACCCAACAACTGTCTCCTTTAAAGTACGTTGGAAACACTTTTTACGCTGTCCAGAGTTTTCTTTTCTGCGCCCTAGAAATACATTCTAAGCGGCAATACAAAATTGTTATCGTTTAGGTCATTAGAGTTTCCCACAAGCAGGCCACAAGTTGCTCGGCAACTTTTCGGCAACTTCTCGTATTTCGAACAACTTCTTTCCTATATAGCAACTATTGGCTTTTTTATTAAGATTTCTCTAGAACTTTGTCATCTAACTCTGTGATATCGGAGCAGCTCTTAGTGTTTAAATTAGTCTTTGTTCCATATTTCACAATGTTTTGTATACAAGTTGCAAATTACCAGTAGAAAAAAGGAGACAAATACTCCTCCCCTGAGGCACATTAAGGGCGCAAGATAAGTCTGCGGTCTTTACAGAAAATTTTAAATGATTGACGCAGATTCTCACTCGACTGACTCGAGTGTCTCGGGTGAAGAAAATCATTAAGCATTTTTCTTGGCTCATTACATTTCTTTCTTGATTTTAACTCCGGACAAAGTTATTAAGCAAAGCTGGTTGCGCTGAAAATTGCACAAAAATGCTAAGAAATGGTACTTTTGTTTGTACAATTTGCATATTTTCATAACTTCAAGTAGTGCATATGGCTACGATGAGGTCCTAACCAATCAGAGCGCAGCAAAATTTGTCTCGACCAATCAGAATCGCGCATTTCACCCATGTGACTTATGTGACGTCACAATGCCCATATTTGGGCATGGTTTGACACGTGACCCCATGGAATAAAGAACACACGCACACAAGAATTGAATCCACATTCTTGGCATAGTTTTAATAACCGCGTAAAGTCCTGGGTACAAGCGGGACGTGTGTGACGCCCTAATGACGTCACGCCCATTTTTACAAATCTAAT